GTCGACGTGGTCGAGGGAGTGCCGATCAACGACACGCCAGGCTGCCGCCCGTCGCCACCGCCTCAGCGACGCACCCCAACCCTCACACCCTGGCCCTGACCCCACCCTACCCCTGGCCCCAACCCCAGGCTCGCCGCCCGTCGTCACTGCCTACGCGACGCGCGTCGATGGCGCTCCGCTCTCGGACGAGATGGCGCGCTGAGCGGGGCGGCGCGCCGAGGGCCCAGCGAGGCGCGAGCTGGACCACCAAGAGCATGCGCGGGCGGCGGACCCCGCCACGAGCGGGCGGGGCCGCCTCGCCCGCCACGGGCGGATTGAGCTGCGCCCGGCGAGAGACCGAGAGTAGGCGCCGGCGAGAGTAGACGGGCGAGAGAGGAGAGAGAGGGCATCCGGGCCAAGGCGTCCCGGGGCGAGCTGCTGGAGTGGTCCTCGCTGTTGCGTTTCAAGACATGGCCACTCCCTGCTAGCTGTGTTCAGCGAGAGAGAGAGGATGACAAGAGTCGGAGAGGAGTCAGGAGGGGGAGAGAAAACAGCGATATGAAGATGAAGTTGAGAGAGAGTTAAAGAGTCAGAGACCGATTCCTTTACACGTATTACACAAGAGCAACCACCAATACCAAACATGCAACTCTTTGCACTTTTCGTTATATTGGTTTGAACTCTTATATATCTCTTAGGTGGCGAAGATCCCAGGGCGGATCTTCCAGCCCCTTTCGGCACCGCAGCGCGGTCCTACGGCCGCTGGTGGCCGCCCCGATGGCCCAGCTGGCCTAGCCGGGTCGGCTGCATGTCCGGGCGGGCCGTGGGGGCCATTGTTGGGTCATTGTGTCTCGTTTGAAAACGGGTTTTCGGCTGACGGCAGAAGATCCTCTGGAGGATCTTCTGCCGGGAACCAATGTCAGAGCTCTGAACGGCTGATCTGAGAGCCCCCCAGCACAGTAGGGATTGATTATGATCAGATCCATCACTCACTGGCCGGGGTTGAGCTATTCTAGACGACAAGCCGCGTGCAGAGTGCCTGAAGTTCAGCCCCGCACGACGCACAGACGTGCCGGCTAGTGGGCTGCTAGCGCTCTGCGGGCAGCAAATGTCGCGCTTCTGGGCCACCAAGCCGGTAAGATGACCTAACCCGGTCAGTCTGAGGCTGCGGCCATGATGGTTGTACTCCTCCTGGTGTCGGTGGACCACTTTTTCGGCTTGAGCTAGCGACGAGAATGATCAGCGCGAGGTGGACTCACGAGGGAGGCCACGGGTCGCCATGTTGGGCACACAGGTGCCACCCAGGCAGAAGTATTGACCAGACAATGAATACGTACAATACCCTCACAAAGAGAGCGATGCCTTCCCACCTGCTGACCGCTTCAGCGGTGGTCGCCACCAATGCAACGACGGCACTCGCCGGCCACGTTGCTGGCCAGCACCAACAATTCTGGGCGCCGCTCGGCCCGAGGCATTGCTAGGCCTGCTCAGGTCGTGCCACATGAGCACTGAATGGCCTCGTAGGGGGCTCATGGGGCCGGTGACGGCGCCCTGCGCCGAAGATCCCAGGGCGGATCTTCTGGCCGCCACTTAAGAGATAGTACTTTAGAGTTCCGACAGGTTCGGCACCGGGCACCGCCTCGGTAACGGTATACAAAATGCGCCTGCGGGCGGACCCTTACAGATCACAGCTTTTTACCCATCTCACAGTAGAGAGGTGTCCGTTTTTATTTATTACAGATCACAGATCACTTAGAGTTGAAGTTGTGAGTGTTGAGCACTTTCTTGGTCCTAGACGATAGAGGCCCTCGCCTTGCGGATTGGGGGTCTGTTGACACTGACTCGCGCCAAAACGCCTAAAGCCTCCTACCGCTTCCCTTCCCGCAGCGAAGCGAAAAAAGAAAAGTGGGCTACGCGCCAGCCCTGGGTTCCGGCTCCTACCCGGATAGGGGGTCTGTTGGGACTGACTCGCGCCAAAACGCCCTACCTACCTACGGCTTTACCTATCCCCAGGCCGCGCAGCGAAGCGAAAAAAGATGAAAATAGCGGGTACCTACCTATTGCAGGGCCCTTTTGGGCCAAACAAGACCAACCTACCTACTTATCTGGGAGGGGCCAGCCCGTCAGACAGACCCCCTATCCGGGTAGGAGCGAACCCTGATGCGTGCGCTCGGCCACCTAGAACCAGCTGAGGCCGAGGTGCCAGTCACAGCCCTGGTGGAACCTTTTGAGTGCCAGGACGTGTGAAGCAGGCGATCTACAGAGAAGCTCACGTCCAGCACGCAGCGAGCAGCTAACACGAGAGCAGCGGGAAGCCATGTGCCTTCCGGCCGCGCGCGAGGAGGCGGTCGTCGCGGTGCCGTTCCCGCGCGCGCACTTTCTGCTCGTCCTCTTCGTGTGCCTGGCCGACGGCGTGGTCATCACCTTCCTGGTTCCGATGGTTCCCTTCATGGTCCGCGACTTTGGCGTGCCCGAGGCGCAGGTCGGCTCTGCCGCCGGCCTCGTCGCGTCCGTCTACAACCTGGCGCAAATCTTCTCCGGGCTCCTCTGGGGCCGCGCCTCCGACCTCATCGGACGGCGTCCCGTCATCAGCTTCGGAATAGTGGCGGCGGCGGCGAGCACGCTCGGCCTCGGCGTCGCAACCTCGCTCCCTGCCGCGCTCGCGACGCGGTGAGTCGACTGCTCCCACGCGCTGCTGCGGGAGCGGGATGGCGCCTCTTCACGCGTCTGGCCGTGAACAGGTTCGTCGGAGGGCTCCTCAACGCGAACCAGGCGGTGCTGCGTGCACAGTTGCGAGAGCTCATGCCGGAGGAGCACCGGTCGCAGGCGTTCGCATCGCTCGGGCAGGCTTGGGGGGTCGGCTTCATGCTCGGTCCTCTGATCGGAGGCTCGCTGGCGCGGCCGGCGGCGGTGCTGCCCTCCCTCGCCGGCTCGCCCCTCGACGTGTACCCGTACCTCCTTCCGAGCCTCGCCGCTGCCGCCCTCTGCCTGCTCGGCACGCCGGCGGCAAGGGCCCTCCCGCTCGTGAAAGCCTTCTCAATGAAGTCACTAATCGCGTAGGCCTGCCGGCGGTGAGGGCACTCCCCGAGACAGTATGCGTGGGCGGCGACCAGCCTTCCTGCTTGCCAGGGACCGAGCTTCCTCCCTCCTCTGACCAGCCGAGAGCGGGGGCGGGGCAGCCCGCCGCAGACGCGCCGGGTGCGCCAAGGGGGCGAGCCGTTCGTTCACCGACTCGTTGATGAACCTTCGCAATTACCACAGGCAAGAGGCGGACGAGCCGCCGCGATTTGGAGATGGGAACGGCGCCTTCCTTGCCGGGCCACGAGGCCGGGGAGGAGGGTGCGGCAGCCGAGGCGGCCCTGCCGGGGCGCAGGCATCTCGCCACGGCTGCGCACGCCGCCCTCGTTGCAAAGGCGGGGGAGAGGAGCAGCGGAGAGCGGCGCCGCGGCGGCGGCGGCGGCGGCGACAGTGTTTGGACGCGGTGCTGGGGCGGGCGTTGCTTGTGCCCGGACCGCCGGCGGTGTTTCTTACTGATGCGCCGCTGCTGCTCTGACAACGTCGCCGCGCTGGGAAGCTTGGGGCGGAGGCAGGTGCGGCTCTGCATCGCGCTGATGGCGATCAACCACTTCACCGTCATCGGCACGCGGAGCTCCGCCCCCTCTGAAGTGAGCGTGAACGGCGCCTCTCCACTCGTGCGGCCGTGAACAGGCATGGCGGAGCTCTTCCCGCTCTTCGCCTCTGCCCCAACCGGGCTACGGATGCAGCCGCAGCAGCTCGACTGCGCGGCACGTCCACGAGTCCGTCCACGACACGTCCCCACGTCACGCAATAGGCAGCCGCAGCAGATCGGCGCGGCGCTCACCCCGCTCGCGGTGGCGCTCTGCGTGTGGCCGTTTGTCTTCGTGCGGCTGGAGAGGCGGCACGGCCCCGTGGCGACCCTGAGGATCGGCCAGCTGGCCTTCGCCATGGTGAACGCGACGATGCCTCTCCTGGTCCTCACTGCTCTTTATGCTGCATGAATCGAGGACGGTGTCTGTTCACACCTCCAGCCGTGAACAGGTCCTTTTGCGCGACTCGCCTCTGCTCTGGGTGGGGCTGGTGGCGGTGGGGTTGTGCCGTGGGATTGGAGGCACCTCCCAGCCCTCCAACACCCCTCCGCCCCGCCCCGCCCCGCTTTCCGCCCGCCCCGCCCAGCCCGCCCCACCCTTCCCTTTCCCCCATCCGGCTCGGCTGTGGGTGTGACGGCGCCTCTTCACCACCTCTACCCGCGACGCAGGCAACTCGTCCTTCCCCTCGCTCGCCATCCTCCTCAACTCGATGCTTGATCAGCACCTCGGCGCCATGAACGGGTTCGCCGCCTCGGTCGGCTCTCTCGTGCGAGCCATCGCGCCCGTGGCGTGCGGGTCCCTCTTCTCTGCAGCCTCGTCGATCAGCGAATCGCCCGAGGTCGCGCAAGGCCTCCCCTTCTACCTCCTCGTCGCCCTCCTGCTCTGCGGCCTCGGCATGACGGCAGGCCTGTCGAGGCCGGGCCAACCCGGCTCCGAACAAGGCGCGGCGCCGGCGTCGGCGGCCCGCGCCGTGCGGACTTGAAATCTCTCGCCACAGATCCTCTCTTCCTGCACTGATCTGGTTTTGTGTCGCCTCGTGATAACTGTAGTGAGCGTCGGGCGTGGTTCGACACCGAGTTTGAAAGATCCGTTTGAGATGTGGCTTGTGGGAGAGGCCACAGCTCGCACAGGGCTGGAGGGCGGAGCGAAAAAAAGCAAGCGAGTGATGCCTGTCACATCCCCCCCGTGTTGAAATTCACGGTCGCTTCGAACTACAAGACCTCGAACAAGACATCGTCAACACGATGCGCGCGATCGCGCTGGTCCCCCCGACTGACCCTTGTGCCGCCAAGAGCAGGCCTCACAGGATCTTCAGGTCACTCCAGTGCTCCCTCGCCCAGCGCGTCGTGGACGCTGTGCACGCTCGCGCACAGACCCCACCACATTACCTCGCCAACCTTACTGATCATGCGAAGGTCGACCGCACGCGCCTCGCACGCGGCACGCAGCGCGGCCGTCGCCTCCGTGCCGACCGTCGCGTCGCCCATGAGGATGAGCCTCAGCTTCGGAACGTGCGGCAGCATTCCGGCGATCGCGAGCGCACCACCGTCCCCGACGGGATTGGAGAGCAGTACGAGCATCTCGAGGTTGTGGGCACAGCCCGTCGAGAGCGTCTCTGCCATCGTCGCCACCTCCGCCGGGCCCCAGCCGTGTCCGGCAAACACGAGACGCGCACACACGCCCATACGCGCCGTGAAGCCCTCGCGGTATAGCTTTGCGACGAGGGGCTTGTCGTCCTTGCCGTTGGTGAAGGAGCGAGAGGGGGAGGCGATTGAGCAACGGAAGGCGTCGGCCGCCGCCGCGGTGGAGGAGAAGGAGGCCGCCATCGCGGTTGCCAAGGAGCGGCTCGCCACGCGCAGCGAGCGGCCCGACCGCGAGCGAGTGCACGACGAGGCGCAGTCGGCGCTACAGAACGAGTTGCGCGTGCTGTGCAGCGCAGCCCAGGAGCTCACCCACTCAATCTGCAAGTGCGACGACGACCTTGCCCGCGTTGAGGCTGCAAAGGCCAAGGTGGATGCCTCCCCGCTGATGCGATTGCCGGCCCTCCCCTCTCTGCCGCTCACTCTCTTTCCCTATCCTCCGCCGCCCTCATGATCGCTTGGTAAGCGGCGGCTGGCGCACACTCCACCGTCTTTCATTCCCACCAGGTCACGGATGACCACGCCCGCAAGCTTGCCTCGCTCGAGCTTGAGAGCGCGCTCTTCGACTCTTCCAAGGGTTCCACCACAGGGTGGTGAAGCAACGCTTTTCGACCAAAGCTTTGGTCCCGGCGTCTGGCATCACCGTCTGGGTCTTCCTAAACCTAAAGTACACACCAATGCACTTGGCTCTTGCTAGTCCCGGCCTCACTCGGCGGCTGGCCTCTGCAAATGGTGGCTTTGGTTGTGACATCTCCGGTTCGGAACCGGTCCAGTGGTGGTTCTGCGTTACATCGCTGGGCGGGTCTGAGTGCTGTGGGGGTGGGGTCGCGCAGACTCTCTGCACAGACTGCACTCTCGACCCTCTGCCTCTCCTCCCCGCGGCGTGTACTGGATGGTGAGCGTGTGCCAACGATGTAAAAATCTCGCGGCCGCCGCGTTGACGAACTTGAAGCGTCTGACGAGTGACGTGTCCACCAAATTAGGCTTTAAAGGGTCTCTCATATTAATAGCACCCGGTAAAGAAATGTTCAAGGATCGAGCAAGTCAAAGCTCGGCTCCCCGGACGGGGCGGTGAGCCATGCGCTGTCGCGGTACGCCGCGAAGGGAGGGCGGTCCAGCTCTGCCGTCGCGGTTGCCACCTGCACGCGGCGTGCAGGTGGCAGGGGGGGAGGGTAGGGCTAGGGGGCGGGGTGCGGATGGCTTGTCGTGGGCTGGAAGAGCGCGCGGGCGGAGCAGGGAGGGCGTCGCATCTAGCGCGAGCAACGTCGGCGCCGATCGCGGCGATGAGTTCCCCCGGGCCTGTGGCGGCGGGGGGTGCTTGGCTCACGAGCCCCGCAGGAGAGAGAGGCTATGCGCCGCCGCGGTATTGTCTCAGAAGTGTCTCAGAAGCGCCGTTTGTGAAATCAAACTTTCGCTCGGGCCGCACGAAGCCGAGCAGGAGCAGTCGGAGTGTCTCGCCGTAAAAGTCGGCGGGCAGCGGCGCGTCCTGCCGAAAACGCCGCAAACACCGTGAGGCGCGTCAGCCGAGGAGGTTTGAGGGAGGCGCATCTTCTGGCTACACCTCCGCGATGACATGCGCCTCGACGATGGTCTCGGCGTTCTCCTCGCCGACGAAGGACGGGGAGATGCCGATGTTGGCGACGCACCTGGGCGGGGCGGCGACGAGGCTGGCCACACGGTGGCAGCGGAGGGTCGAGTGACTCAGGCGGCGGCTCGCTTTCGCACGTCGCCGCCGAGTGCGGCCCAGCCTAAGTAGACGCCTCTCTCCAGCTGGACGAGTCGGTCCTGGAAGAGCGAGCACGGCAGGTTGGCTGTCGGGAAGCCGAGCTTGGCGGAGCCACGCCCGTAGCCCTGCAGAACCGGCCCGCTCAGCGCGGGCAGGGCAGGGAGCGGCTGGACGGCCCGAGCCTCGGCCGATGAGCCCATTCTCACTCGTGCACGAACGGGCGTGGCCAGCCGCGTCGGCGAGGCGGAGCAGGCGACAAGCGCCAACATGAATGAGCCGACCTAGACAACTAGACGCGGCACTCTTCGCGTGCGACAACCTAGAACACAAGGGCGCAGAAAAAGAATTCTTAAGACAAGTCTCTCTCACAGCACACTGGCACGACAAGGGCGCAGACTGGCGCGGACTGGCACACACACAGGCTCACCAGAAAAGAATCTTTGCGCAGAAGAATCTTGGGGACATCTACAAGGGACCGGCAGGCGGCGGCGCCGCAGGACGAGGCAGAAGAGAACGACGCGACAGAGGAGGAAGTGACAAGGGAGAGAACGACGAGAGTGGGACGACCGCGAGGTGGCATGAAGGTTGCAGCGAGAAAGATCAAAGAAGCGGCGAGAGACTGCGAAGAGAGATAGGAAGAGGCAGACTCCCTAGGGTGGGCGACGGCTAGCGCATCACACACCTCTCCTTAAAATCCCTGTGTGGTGGCGGCGTGCCTCGCCGGTCGCCATCTCATCGCGTGGCATTACGCATGACTTGTCCTGGAAGCGTCCGATAGGCGAGCTGCTCTACGAGCTAATCGACATCGCGCCCGCGCTCCACTTGCGCTCACTGCGCGACGGTCGCCGCGCCATCCGCCACCCGGTGCCGCCCTCCTTCTCGAGCCACATGCACAACTCGATCCACCCCCTCTTTGTCGAGAGCCTCGGCGGCTGGTGTCGCTCGCGGGACGCTGCCGCGGCGAAGCGCGACACGATTGTTGCACAGCGTGGCGTGGCTCCCGTAGGCTCGGCATCGGCCACACACACTACTCCGACGGCGACCAGGCAGCCTCGCCAAGCCCCTCGCTCCCGCCCTCACATCCGCCCGCCGCCGTCACATCCGCCACCGCCATTGAAATCCTCCCTCTTTGGCAGGTCGCCCTGGAGGCGATCGAGGGCGAGTGGCTCGAGAGGCCGCAACGAGCGACCCCACTGGCGGCCCCACGGACGCGGCTGCGGTAAGCGCTGCGCGACCGCCATAGGCACTCGAGCGAGTACCAGTACGGCGGCTCGTACCGTCACGCCTTCTTCCTCCTCAACGAAAGCACCCTGCGCATGGAGCGGCACTCGCGCGACCTGTGCTTCTCGAGCGTCGAAGACCTCCGCCGCCACCCGCTCTCTCGCAACGGCACGCGGCCGCTCTGCGAGGGGGTGCAGTTCGTCATGAATGCGCTGTTGACCGAGGACGGGTCGAGCGTCCAGCTGCCGTACGGCGTGCAGGACTGCGAGTCCGCCATCCTGACCCTCCCCATCGACTTTGTCGACTCTGAGCTCCTCGAGTTTCGCGTCGTCGAACCCCGGTGACGGCTTCTACATGGACTCTATGCGCGCCCCGCCGGCTCTGTGGCTGGGTGTGTCCGCGCTGTACAACATCTCGGCATGTGCATGAGAGCACTCCGCGCTGCCGCGCGCACAGGCCGCGGGGCGCGGGCCGCGGCTCTGGCGCTTTTGGCGCGCAATGATTTTCGCGCATCGCGCATTCGCGGCGCTCTCACACATGTGCGCGCTCTGTGGCCTCTCGTCGCCAGCTCTCGGCGTCGACCTTGTTTAGACCATCCCCCTCTCGCCCTCACAATGTTCTGTGATCGACTACGTACGCGCGCGTCTAGCAGGCGCAATACCGCACAAGTACTCGTGTAGTAGAACGAAATCTAGATAGATGTGTCTCATGGCAGGCGGCACGCCAGCGTTAGGCTTGCCCCAAACGCGGCACCGTGACGCGCAGGGTTCGCGCCTCGAACGACGCCTCGATACGGCCAACGTCCGCATCGGATGGCAGCGCGACTCTTTCGTCGAGGCCGACCAGCAGCGCGTGCGCCGGGCCGGTCTTGCTGCCTCGGATGCGAAGCGCGCAACCTTCGAGCGCAACGTCGAAATCCTCCTTGCCGACCGCACCCGAGAAGTCTGCAAAGTCGGCTGCCACGACATATCGGTCATCAAGCGAGCGGAGCGCGAACCTGGAACGTCTGGTCTGCGCCTCCCTGGACCCGTCTGGATAAAGCGTCACCTCTCCTTCGAGAAATCCACGCTTCACCGCGAACGCACCCTCCGCTGGTTGGGCAGGCGCAGGCGCTCCCGCCGTGACCACTGCCGGCGCGGGTGCAGCTTGGGCGGCCGGGCCAGCCTCCCGCCGCGAAGCGGCCTCAGCAGCAGCCTTGCGAGCTATCGCCGCCTTCAGCGCCATATCACCTAAAATAGGCGTCGCTGCGACCAGGGTTCCGGCTGCTTGTTTCTTATGAACCTACCTTATGAACCTACTAGGGGTGACCTGCGGCGTTACCCGCCTCTGTTGTTCGGGCAGCGAGAGACGCAGGATTTGCACGCGAAGTGGGCTCCACTCCGCATTTGCATTTTGGTTTTGGGTGTCGTCGGAGATCATCTCTCTCTCTCTCCATCGCACGCCGTGCTGACTGCTGTGCAAGCACTCATCAATCAGAACAAACAATGACGTGTGAGTGTTAGAGTTGTTTGGTAAGACCGACCTACCTACCTATCTGGGACGGGCCAGCCACCGCCAGTGGGAACAGACCCCCTATCCGGCCAGCCCGGGCCGCCCACCCAGCCTTCCTTGATTGATTGACCGGGTTCGTTTGTTCGGCTTCTGCCCAGGGGTGGGGAATTCGCCTTGTTGGCAAAGCAAGACACAGAGCTACCAGTCGTTCCGGCAAGAAAGGTGTAAAAATAAGTTGGCCCACAGTACACAAATCACAGACCGAAACTCTCGAAACCAACTTGCGTCCACGTGGCAAAACGGACTGCAATCCAAGCGGCGTGTTTCCGGGCAATATGCGGTGTTGCACGCGTCGCGTACGCGGCCTTCAGCTTGTGGCCGCGGCACTGCTCGTCTGCAGCGGTGCGAGCGATGCGATCGGCCCGGTGCACGACTACGCGCCGACGGGCTTCGCCGCTGACACGCCCATGCTCCTGCTGTACGGCGGCGTCGGACGTCACAACTTTGGAGACGTGCTGATGGGCGAGATGGTGCACGCGCTGGCGTTGTCGCACTGCTCGTACCAGCGGCGGCAAATCGTGTTTGCCGACGTGATCGGCCACGACATGCGCATTCACGGCGGCAAGAATGTCTTCTCCCTGAGCACCGTCGCCGCGCGTGTCACGTCCAGGCGCCGCACACCGGCCACTCACCGCCCTGCGACGCTCCAACCGAAGCGGCCGACGCGAGGCCACGCTCAGCTTGCCCCCGCCGCTCCTGCGCCCAGACTCGACGTCATCGCCATCGGAGGCGAGATCCTTGGCGTCTCGTACCCCGGAGCCAGGGTGATGCTCCAGTCGTATCAGTGGCCTCCCGCCTCAATCGCAGCCTGGCAAGGAGAGGAGCACGGGCCGGCGGAGCGGGCGATGCGCCGGGCGGACTCGGTCTACCTGCCGCGCCGTAGCTGGTTCCGCAACCCCGGCGCCATCGTCATCAACGCGGCGGGCGGGCGCCGCGTCAGCTCGCAGGACGAGCTGGCGCTCGGCGAGGTTAACTTTACCTCGTTCCGCAATCGCCTGGGTGCGCGCGGCGTGCTCACGCCCGACTCGGTGACGCTGCTGCCGTGGCTCTTTGGGCGCGAGGTCTTTGACCGCGCCTCCCTCGACGGCCTGCTCGACAAGAAGTACCTCGCGGTGCAGTTCAACGCAATGTGGCTGCGACTCTCACTCGACGAGCTCGCAGAGGCGCTCTGCCCTAGAGATACGGGAGATGGGGAGGGGGCCACACCACCATAAGGGTACTCCTCGGAGTGGCAGCGCGCCTCCGCACATCGCACGAGCACTAGCTGCTGCCAGGCGCTGACCTCGATCGCGAGCGAGCACAACCTCGACGTCGTCCTCTTCCGAGCTGGCGCGGCGGGCGGGCACGACAAGCTGCCGCACTACGCGCGTGTTGCCTCCAAGATTGCGCTGCTCGACCCGCACGTCACCGTGCAGGCCCGTGCACCCTGGCCGGTTGGATCCCTCCAAGTGGCAAAGTGACGCATCCCTCTGAGCTGCCCGAGCGAGCCCACTGCCCCTCCCCGCCCAGGTGTTTGACGACCTGAACGTCTGGTCAATTACCTCGCTCATCGCCGCGGCTCCCGCGTGCTCGCAACCCGCCGCCGCTCCGCCGCAGCTCTTCTCACCCCTCCACCGTCCCGGCCATAGGCCGATCTCGTCCTCTCCACCTCTCTGCACGCGCGCATCGTCGCCTTTGCCTTCGCGACGCCGCGGATGTACCTGTCGCGCCCAACCGTGCAGCGAAAGTACGATGACTTTGTCGACCTCTGGGACAACGCGCTTCCCGCCACGCTTCGCCACGCCGCTTCGGGGCGATACGACGAGAGTGGCGCTAGCGCTCCGCCGGTGCCTGGCGGCATGACGAATGGCACCTCTGGAGCGCCTCGCCCGAGCAACGCCTCGCTCCTCGCGGCGAGCGCGTCCCTGTCGCTCTCTCCCGGAGCCATCGAGGCGTTCCGCGACAGCGCACGAGCGAGAGAGGTGGCCGAGATCTACATGAACGGCACCTTCGCGCCCTACTCGCAGCTGCTTGCCGTGCCGTGTCTCGGCGGGCACAGCGCCATCGACTGGCAGGCAGACTATGCCGCGAGGCTGTGGCGGCGGAAGCGCCGCCTGAGCCGGGGCCTGGTCAGCACGTGATGGAGATTTTTGTGGAGCGGGGCGGAGCGGGGTGGCGCGCATCGCCTTGGCGGTTGACGAGCGGGACCGCCGTGTACACCTTTTTTTAGACTCTGTTCTGGTCTTTGACTTTGTCTCGTTGTGTATAGCCTCTGCGGTTTCCCGCGCGCGCCACATCGCACACATGGACATTGTGGACAGCAGAGCGGCGCTAGAGGAGGCGGAAAGCAAGGAGGAGAAGAGATGTGATAGAGTTGCGGGTTGTCTTGTTTTTGCTGCCCAATTGTTGGCCGAATTTCTTTTTCATCCACGGACCACGCGCTTCGACGATTTCTTCTGTTCTTCTTCGCCCGTTATCGTGCCAGTGGCAGTGCGTAGAGTTTGTTGTCTTTGTGTTGCGTGCTGTGAGAGAGGTGTCTTGGATGAGTGAGTATTCGTGATACGGTGCGCCTGAATTCTTTTTCAGTGCGCGCCAGTCCCGTGCCTAGTGTAAAGAAAGAAAGAAAAGACACATGAGAAAGGAGGGAGATGGGAGGACGGCACAATAAATAAATAGACCAGGCATCTCCAGGTACCAGGAGAGATGGGCGACGCACGAACACAGAGGGACAGTGCGCACCCCGCCCGGCCGCCCCGCTCACAGGGCGCGTGGGGATTCTTTTCCGAGACATGTCTGCTGAGGGAGGGTGTAGAGGATGTATAGTGTAGAGCGCTGTAGAGCTGTAGAGATGGAGAGCGCTGTAGAGCTGTAGAGCTCTACATCCGCCGCGGGACGAGGCGGGTGCGTTGTAGAGCGATGTAGAGGCGCTCTACAACGTGAAATCTCTACAACAAACTCTACATCCGCATCAGCGGCGAACGAGGCACGGTCGCTCTCCGACATGAGGCGCGTTGCACTTGCCAGTGCTGCCCTGGCCTTCTGCCTGCCCGCCCAATGGGTGGCAGGTGCCTCTGCTGCTGTGGTATGCCTCACGGCTGCGACTGGCCGGCGCCTCGGCGCGTCAGCTCGGCTCGGCGTAGCGATAGTGGCCAGCGCAACTCGCCTGGACTCAACCTGGACTCAACGCTCAGCCAGGAGCTCCCGCACGCGCTGGCGCGAGTCATGGCGCATGCAACGCGTCTGAATGCTCGCCTCGCCTTGCGCACATGCGACCGTCCTCGCAGCCGACAGTCCACCGCCTGCTAAAGAAGCACAGCGACGAATGCGGCACCGGCGACGCATGGCAGGCTGGTCATGACGCAGTTATAGGGTGTTGGTGTGCCGTCAGAGTGACTCTCTGTGTGTCAGGGATAGTCAGGGCCGTCCATCAGAGCTCCAGTAAGCTCGGAGACACCCCATTAGTGCGACTCGACCTCTTTGAGTCACTGCCTTCCCGGCGGTTTCACTGTAGGGCGCTGTAAGAGCCTCTACAACAAACTCTACAACAAAATCGCGCTCTACAGCGCTCTACAACGCACCCGCCTCGTCCCGCGGCGGATGTAGAGCTCTACAGCTCTACAGCGCTCCAGAGCGCTCTACATCTCTACAGCTCTACAGCGCTCTACACTCTACATCCTCTACCTACACCCTCCCTCAGCATGTCTGTTCACGACTACCCGAGTCGCGTTGTGCTCTAATTCTTTTCCCTGGGTGAGCGATGTGCTCGCCACACTGGCGAGGACAGATACTTTTTCACAGGGGGGGGATCCGTCTGGAAAAATGCTCGAGCCCCCGGCGAGGCTTCTGCTGTGAATAGCAGGCTGGCTCTGGGTTGGTTGGGATCCCTACTCGCCAGCTCGCCCCCGAAGAGACATATGTCCGCTAACGACCACCCGAGTCGCGAAGCGGCGCTCTACCACCCGTGGACGGTCGGGTCCCCTGCCGATGGCTGGCAAGTCACGATCACTGCTGGCCACGCGACACTGCCCGACGGCCTCACCCACCTTAGCTCCCGTGCTTTCCTCGAGTGCAAGTCTCTCGCCTCCGTCACCTGCCCGAGCAGCCTCGTCTCGATCGGTGACCGAGCGTTCGACGGCTGCACTTCGCTTGCCTCGATCCAACTCCCTGACGGCCTCACCTCTGTCGGCCGCCACGCCTTTGACGGGTGCTCCTCTCTCGCCTCCATCGAACTCCCCGCCGGCCTCGCCTTGGTCGGCGCCTACGCCTTCCGCTACTGCGCCTCGCTGGCCTCTCTCTCCCTCCCTCCGGCCCTGTGTTGCGTCGAGGTCGGGGCCTTCTATTGCTGCTCCTCCCTCAGCAGCGTCACCCTCCCCGCCAGCCTCGTCTCCATCGGCACGGCCGCCTTCGACGGCTGCTCCTCCCTCGCCTCCCTGCCCCTCCCCGCCGGCCTCGCCTCCATCGGCACCCTCCTCTCTGCTGGCTGCTTCGGCCTGCCGCCGCTTCTCTTCACGCCTCGCACTACTGGACACAGGCAACCACTCCTTCCACTGCTGCTCCTCCCTCACCTCCGTCGCCTTCCCCGCCAGCCTCGCCTCCATCGGCGACGGCGCTGCTCCTGCCACTCCTCCCTCTCCCCCCCCCCCTCTAAAGAGCGCCTCTTCACGCCTCGCTCTGTGAACAGGCGCCTTCATCAACTGCTCTTCCCTCGCCTCCGTCGCCCTCCCCGCCGGCCTCGCCTAGCCCTCGGCAACACCCTCGCTGCGAACAGCGTCTCTTCACGCCCGTCCCCGACAGCAGGCCTGACCTACCTCGGCAAGACCGCCTTCTACTACTGCACCTCCCTCGCCTCCGTCGCGATCCCCGACGGGGTCGGGCTCCCCCTCCGCCCTCTTCCCGCGACCGCCGTGAGGAGCGCCGCTTCACAGTCGCTCGGCGGCTGTGAACAGGTCTCTTCCATCGGGCCCGGCTGCTTCCGCGACTGCTCCTCCCTCGCCGAGCTGCGCCTCCCCAGCAGCCTCTCCCCAGATGCCAAACACAAGTCCAACCACCACTCCCCGCTCTTCCGAGCAGCGCTCGATCAGCGCTCGAGGGGGCACGTGTGTGAA